AAACGTGGTCGGTGAATCGATTGAATAAAAGCTGAAAGCTGAAGGCTGATTTTTGATAAACAGTAAAGGATGAGCGAGCATTTAAATCGATTATTGAGAATTTCAGAGGCTTGTTGTACGTGAATGGACGTAAAGTGAATTAACCGCGGACAAACAACTAGTTTATGTACTTACTCAACTCATATGGCACTTCTCATCTGATCCTCATCATCAGTGCTCCTCTCATTGCCCACTCTGTTCTCCTTCTAACTGCACACCCTTAAACCCATCATGTTATGTTCTATCATCAACAATATATACCTATGTATATACAGCATATCACATCACATTCATCCTTCCCAATACACACAACCCAAGAAGACATACCTCTGCAACCGAGAGAGCAAGCCAGAGGAAAAGGAAGAGGAAGAGAGTTGATTCAACATCAACATCTAATACGACATATTGCTTCAGCAAAATATTTAGACATCCCATTCGAAACGTATCAATACCGTTATGTTACTGACGCACTTGATAAATTACCTACATAGGTAACCACCTACGTACGTGCCGTAATCATATCCGGGTGATACGATTAAAACCGAATTGACGATACAATGGATATATGGATTCAAATAATTAGTAAATTTATCTCTATTTCACTGTTCAGTTATTTATATGATGAAAAGGAATTACTTGATTCAAGAGAAAAATTCCTGAACCAAAAAAATAGTTTTAAAGAATTTCATTGTCTCAAGTCAAGTAAAATTTATTTGTCAAGAATGAAATTCTTTAGAGCGATTTTTTTTTATTCAAGAATTTTTTTTTTTTACAATTCTTAAAAACTAATAATAATTTTGTTTTTATTCAAGAATTTCACATCTTTGGTTGAGAAAAAGTTTCTTCATTAAAAAAAGCAAAAAAAAAATTAGTTATTTTAATTAAAAAAAATTTTTTTTAACAAAAAAACATTTGTTTTTTTTTTTATTTTTTTACCAGATTCGCGTTAATATGAGAGAGACACTAATAGGACTCAGAACGAGACTCGACTATACTTTTCATCATTATTAAAAATATGTTTTTTTGTCTGAAAAATTAGTTGGATAGATCTAAACAATATTTTAATTAAAATAAAGCTTTTCATATGTTGACGTAATCTCATGAAGACAGATATTAACATTCTTGAATAAATAAAGGAATAAATTAAAATGTTTCATTTCAAAAAATTCTTGAGCCAAAAAACCTTTGTCTACACCGTAACTTTTCTTTCTCTCAGTGTATCTTATTTGAAAATAAAAGTTTAAAAGTCAAATTCTTAAAAGTAGAACTTTCTTTTTTTCATCTTGGAGTTTTACCTTCTTGATTCAAACTCATTAATTTCTTGAATTAAAAGAAATAATTTCCTAGAAAAAAAATGAAATTTTGAAGATAATATTTTTTTTAGTCAAGTAATTTTTTTTCAGATGTTTCTATTCAAATGAACTTATTCAAAAAGTTTCATAATCACAATCCACTATTAAATCTAATGGATGGATGGATCTTTTGCAAGCTAAATCTTTTATTTCTTCTTTTCTATCCATAATACTAGAGTATTCTTCTTTTATATCACTAGAATTGAATTTTGCTCGCGCAAGCGCGCGCTTAACTATAGAGTTTGCATATATTTTCATGCCTATGATATATTCGACCAATCACGTTACGAATAGTTTGATGCCACATACATTTCATCTCAATTTTATATTAGGACTAGAATTTAAATTTACGCGCGCAAGCGCGTGCCTTGACTATAGAGTTTGCATATATTTTCATGCTTATGATATATTCAACCAATCACGTTACGAATAGTTTGATGCACATACATTTCATCTCAATTTATATTA